CGTGCCCAACGCTCACAAAGCGTTCAGACCGAGGAGCAGTATGTGTACGCACATTATGTGGTGCTGCAATATTTATGGCTTAATAGAGTCGTTTGTGCTGAAGATATTAAAGGTGAATGTCAGACTGATTAAGAAACCAACGAGAAGTTTGCCACCTTTGTGATCACACCTGACTTGCTGGGAACCTATCTCATTCGACCTTCCGTTCACCGGACATTTCGTCTAATGGACGTTTGGCCCATTCAACATCTAAGTAATTCATGGCTCAATGAAAATCAACATTTGTAGAGGCATTCTGACAGCCAAAGGGCATTCCTTTCCTGCTTTATTTTATGGTTTCCGGTTCCGAAAAACTGGAGTTGTGACGCCCTATGTTGCGGTCGGTATTTGTTATCGGTACACCACCCATGTCAATAAATATGCTGATTTTCGCACAGCTTTCAGCTGCTTGAACGTGCAGCAGACTAAATATCCAAGAGGCGAAATAGCCGTCACAATTGCTCAAAATTCAAACAAAGCTGACAACCGTTACTCTAAGTAAAATATTTTTTAAGGCTTTACAAACGAATATTTGAATTATGTTCGACTTCTGAAGAATACAGCTGGTGTCTTACCATTCAACGCTACCTCGTACCCTGCTTCCGGTAGCACGATAGCTAAGTGCAAACCAAGTCCATCCAAAAAAACAGTGGACAAGTACGAAATNTAGCCGTCACAATTGCTCAAAATTCAAACAGAGCTGACAGCCATTAATCCAAGTAAAATATTTTAAAAGGATTTACAAACGAATATTTGAATTATGTCCGACTTCTGAAGAGTGCAGCCGGTGTCTTACCATTCAATGCGACCTCGTACCCTGCTTCCGGTAGCACGATAGCTAAGTGCAAACCAAGTCCATCCAAAAAAACAGTGGACAAGTACGAAATGGCTAATAGCAGCAGTGAGGTTCGTAATTAATTTTTGTCAGCCCGTCTCACCTCTGCAATCACTCATAATGACGGCGTTACATCTACATTTTCTCCGTATGCGACAATGAATGGGCAACTGCTTGAGTATACCGGTAAACTACAGAATAGGTGAACGAAGCAAATATATTTGCTAATTCTGGAAGAAATGTGATTGATAAAGTTCCGGCGTAGCGTTGCTCACATTCTGAGCATATTTCTGATTGCGTATTTGAGCTTGATCACTGTTGAAAACGATCGACTGGTGCCGAGAAAATCAAACTTTTGAGTGAAGCGAATATGATTAGTAACGGCACGACACATGCCACTACAAAATGCAATCCAACATTCAAGTACATTTTCAAGCAGAATTTCACGAATTCAGTTCAAAAACCGAAACATCAAAATCCAATGATGAGCATCCTAATGATTTACTGTGTGGTCGATTGCGTGGAAAAAAAGAATCTTTGAATGATTATAAGAATAATTACTGCACGTTTTGAGAATGTATTGAATAATTTTCATCTGTTCAATTCAATTCGTTCATTTGTTTCTGGAAAAACTATCGCTATTGAGAGCGCAGGCCAGACAATTTGATTGGGCTCTCACTTGGACTTTCAATTCCAGATTGAAACACGGAAATCGTCGCATCATCATGAACGATTATCGAAATCTGAACGCGCGCATGAATCTAGTGACCGCCGAGGTGCACACAAACATCTTAAACGAGCGCACGGTGTGTCGAGTTTTAATGAAGAAATAGTTCTGCACCTTAGTTCTACCTCCTCATTAACAAGTCGAATTTGAGCATCATTAGGGATTGAAAGTCATGACAATACTTTATTCAAGACGAAATCAAGTTTAGCTTACAATTTACTTGCTCAGAATTCATGCATCTTTCAACAAATCATTGAAGCGTCTTGATCGACTACTATCCGTTTCCTATGATTTGCTCTAATAGTTCACGGAGTTAGACTTGACTTTGCAAAGAGCTGATATTTCATCGGTTTGACAGCACGTTCCTCACTGCCTCAACGAAACTCGAACGAATTGCACTTAATTGAAAACAGGGAACCTAGCGCTTGTGGTCAATATCCTTCTAATGTCGAACAGTGAAAGCATTAAATTTTCAGAAATCAATAGGCTAAAGCAGGAAAATCATAGAGTATTAGTAACTTCAAGTGGAGTTCCTCCCCAACGATTTGTCTCCCAAACGGTAGACAAGACGGTTACTCCAAAGGTTCGACCGCCGGGTCAACAACAGCTGCAAAAATCACCGGAAAAATTACGACTCACCAAGATGAATGCTAACCAACGGATCACTAAATTCAAACAAACAGTTCAAACAGTTCAAACCGCAGATGAACCGATTGTACCAGATGAGGAACACATACAAGTTCTTGAAACACCTGAACCGCAACTGAATGTTGTTAGAGTCCCATTGCACGCGTATCCTCGACCTCCTGTTCCCAATATCCCTCAGCCTCAAGATTCACCTGAATCTTGCAATCCTGCTATTATTCTGCCTCCTGATGCAGCCGGCTTTCCACGTCAAGGGGCTTCTAAGGGTCTGCTTAAAAATGGACAGAATCATCAAAAAATCATCTACACCCCACGATTATCTTACACTGTAAAGCCAGCCGATGCAAGGGGAAGTCAGTTGTCTATTTACAATTAACGTTTTTAAATTAATTATTATTGACCATTTCAGTAATTTCATTTAAATGCAACTCGCATAAATTCAACTTCACTGGAGATGCAAACTCATTAAAAAAATTATGCACACATTTTAGATAACAATCATCCCTCATATGATCAGTATGAGAGAAATTTCTAATGATAATTGACTTTCATCACTTTCAAGCGACTAATCTAATTCATTAGATACTTTTTTTTCAGCTGAATACTTTTATAAGCTGAATGCAGCATCAAAATATGTGACGGCAACTGAAGCAAAACTTGATCAACTCCGGCAACAAGCGAAGAATGCAACAGCTGAACCAAAGAAGGATACAGTTCAAGAGCAACAAAATTAGTCTCCAAAACACCACGAGCAATGAAGATTCCAATTTTTTGACCAATGTTTTCTCAAGATCACTCGATTACTGCAAAAACTTGTGATTGCTTTGAACGATTATTTGGATGATAACAGTAAAATTAATTTATTCTTGAATGCAATTGTTAATAATAAATTAACACAGTTAATAAATTGTTCGCATGTTATCCTTTGTTGTACTCGAAGTCCATATGAAAATAAAACACTCGCAAAAATGAACACCAAGCATTCGGTCAAAAATCATGCAAATGTACTTGATATTCAAGCTTAAGATCCTTTTGAATGGAACAACTTTGCTCACTTCGGCAATGAATTCTCACTATGAGTGAATTCAATGAGAATTTAAGTACATTTCGATCGAAACATTTCCAAATAGCGAAGTAAAAAGACTTGCAGTCTTTGGAACATGCAGTTGAATTAACATATGCAATATTGAAGCCGAACAAATCTTGTGGGAGGAAACGACTCAAAACTTCATTGAAATTTGTTGCTCATGGTTTTTATTAGAAAATGTGATTATCTCTGTTAGTCTACATAGAAATGTATCCAGATGAGTGTGATATAAACCAATGGAGAGGAGAATAATCAATTGAATATTCTATGAAATGATACATAAAAGTTCATCGAGCTGTCGTTGATCATGTCATTCGTCCGAATTGCGTCTATTTTTCTTAGCTGAACATCAATGGTAGAGGGCAAACAGCAAAGATAACTGCATATAAATTAGATGGGAATGATTAAGGTTTGCTTCAAGATGGGAATACTATCAAAATTCACACAAACTGACCTGTTTTATCAAATCCCGAAATCCCGGGATTTTTCAAAACTTAAATCCCGGCATCGGGATCAGAACTGTAATCCCGGGATCCCGTGCAAACCCTAATTGTACTCTTTGATTATGAGATTACTTTCTTATCATCCATCGGTTTCATTCGATGCTGTTCTAATAACATGCGTCATCACATATTATTAGACTTATTGTTAATAGGAATCGCTGAAGTGAACTCTGTCGTTCACATTCATTTCAATTCTTGGAGCTGATTGATGTATTTGCACAAGCAACTGTGATGCTAGGTGCAAGTTTTCGAACTGGCTGCAAGTTTTTTGACGTGTTTAATTAATAATAAATGCGTCTAGCACAACATTCGACGATTGTGCGCAGTATTACCTGAACGAACGCATTCACAGTCAGTCAAAGCAGAGTGTTATTTAGTGCGGCAAAGCGCTGAAGGTGGTTGCCTATGGCAACCATGTCGTGCATAGCATATGTGGAAGAATAATAACTGTCAAATTAAACCTTTACCTGAGCTAGTCGTACAGTAAAGTTAATGCAGGTGTACTGGCATGATGATGTTCGTTTATTTAAGCAAAAAGGTTCATTTTGGATTATACGTCGATTTTTATGGGTTTTTTGCCGATTCTCATCTGAATTGCATCTTCGTTTTGTGCCACTCTTCGAGTGAATGAACTGAACCAGTCAGTCAACTCTCAGAACCCGAAAATATTGTAAATTCATTGACTTTTTCTCATGAACATCGTCCGTATCCAACTTCATTCATCACAGATCTCCATACCGAACAACTCTCAATTGCATTGTGTTTCATGGATGCAAAATTTGGGTTATGTGGCCACCGGAGGTACTGACGGTGTTCTTAAGGTTCTCAAGCTCGCACCAAGCACACGTTAGTTGTTTATCCTGCCGTCCATCCTTGTGATTTTGAATTGCTGATCCAAATGATCACAATCAAATAACGAAACGTTTCGTGAAGTGGACACATGATCTCCAATGTTAACCCGCTTCACCACAAAACTGCTTATAAATTACAGATCCTCGAGGCTCGTCCGGACCGACAAACCTTTCAGTCAATCAGAATCTCGATGGACATAGCGGTAATATATTTTGTTGTGTTTTTCAAATGATCTGTTTTCAATGACAACTATTGCTTCAAGATGTAAGTCACACTGGCATGTGAGGAGGAAGCAAAAATGCGGAACATAAGAGCGCATTAATCGTGAATGAAAACAAAACAGTAGATCTGACAAATTTTCTTTTCGGTGGTCACCGATGAAGCAAATTTTCGTTGTTGGTCAATTTCGCTTGGTAGTCGTCGATAATTATCGATCAAAGAGCAACATGCACTTTGTCTGGCACCTTCGTTCTGCCATAACATGTTCATCGCTTGCGAAATCAGCTCTCTCACAAGATAGATTTACGATGATTTTCGATACGTTTCTTTGAATGGTTGTTCCCGATTTCGTCTGATCTTGATTACCTCTCAAAATTCACTCATCATCTTTGATTGGTTCTCGAGGCCTATCTGCAAATTCGATAGAACGTTGCCGTCGCAAAATATATTCATATGATGCAATGATTGACCACCACTAATGCTCACAGTGGAATAGGAGAAACAAGAATCGCATGTGAAAGCAACTGATACTTCATAAGGGCGAATCCACTAATGAAGTGAATACTTCATTTGAATCAACTGATCGCTTACAGGTATCGTGCAAGTGGCAGCTTGGAACGAAGTATATCAAAAGCTAACGACAAGTGATAGTAATGGACTAATAATTGTTTGGTTAACGCAACGAGATAGTTGGTATGAGGAAATGATCAACAACCGCAACAAGTCTGTTGTTGTCGATATGGCGTGGAGTCATAATGGCACGAAAATAGCGATCGCATACGAAGACGGTATATAACATTTGAAAGATTAGCACAGCGAAATTCATCTCCATTATATAATATGACCCATTCAAAGGCCCACTGGATGATGCTCTTAAACGTTAATTCATCTATTATATTAATTCTTATACGTCAACGGAATTGCTAAAATGTTTTTTTTGCGCATAATTCTTTTATTATTTCTTTATTATTTATGTCGTTGTTCACACAGTAATCTACATGAGTTATTTCTCGTTTATTTTTATGCATGTAGAGATTAAGTTAATTTCATTTGCCTTGAGATGAATGAGAGCACCAAGATGTTAATGCAAATGCTCTGGCTTTTCATAGAATTTTCTCTTTCTTCGTGGGTCTTCTATTCTAAACATACATTCATTGATTCATTTTAAGGACAAGTTATCATTGGTTCAGTAGACGGAAATCGTTTATGGAGCAAAGACATTACGGGCGAGTTGGCTGCTGTTTGCGTGAGTTTTGTCTTTTTCTCCTAATAAAATCGTGCTTTTCCGACGAGTTCAGGTAGCAGTATTTCCACTATTCATTATCGATAATGACGAAAGATTGCAGAGTGAAAAAATGAACAAGGTGGGAATTACAAATCATTATCCATTGCCTCATATTAGTAGTCAACAAAACATTTCAGTTAAATTTCAGCAAGGGGTACCGTCATCGGGAATTCATCCACTATTTACTGAAAATCTTCTCTTCAATTCATCGAACATCTCTGAAGAGTTGCAACACGTTTTAGAGATCCAAACAATATTTCGTAGAATTTTCCGATCTCATCTTCGCACTTACACTATTATCATACTGTGATCCGTTCTTACTAGGGTTTGCAAAATCCCGGCGAATTTTCAATCCCGGGATTGGGATTTAATCCCTGGTTCGATTTTTGATCCCGGGATTATCCCGGGATCGAACAATTATTTAAATATCGATGCGGGAGATGTTTAAACACATTTTTTCGAATCAATATGTTCATTATTAATCAGAAAGGAGCTAAATCAACAAATTATTGAACAAAACTGAGTATTCAAATTCAAAAAGGAACTAAGTATTCAAATTCAAATTAATATTTCTTATAATGATGCAAATGATCATGCCGCAAGGGAATACTGCATATTCTGTGCTAAGGCATCTTGTCATCTCGGGTCTAACATAAGCTAATAACAGTATACTTGCATATGAGTATGATATTCTTGATTCTCAGACACTTATTTGCAATGCTTCGAGTCCATTTTCTCTCAGTATTAACATCAGCTGAATTCTGCCATTTCGGAAATTTCGATTTTTTACAAAAAAATGCATCACTTGAATTGTATCATTCGAGATGT